TGTAGTGTGACCTCTGACTGCACTTAAACCCTTGTGCTTTATTTCTCGCCTAACCTATGGGATCAGCATAATTTTTCCAGTTAGACTCTGACACAGCTCGTGAGCAGCAGAACCTGCGTTTGAATCCAGGTCTGTCCAACACAGGTCCTTAGCTGCATGCAGTGCTACGTCTGCACGACTGTCCTGCACTGGACGTCATCTGCCCTCCTGAGAATTATCTTGCAGAATAAGGATAGTCATTTCACCCAAGCAACTGGTGTTAAAGAATAAGATTGTGTAACTTTATTGCCAGGCAAGACCACATCTGGTCAAAACAGATCTTCTGAGGATTCCTGTCTCCTTGGGATGGGACATGTGGCACTCGCTCTGGCAAAGTACAAGCTGGTGCATTATTAACTAAACGTGAGGCAGGATGTGTGCTCTGTGAGCTTTGATTTGTTGCTATCTTGAACCAGAACTGCAAAAAAAAAAAGAATTAACTTTGAAGTAATTATTATATCTGTTCTTCTTGTTTTAGGGAGTTAATAGCATCAACAGCACTGTACAGAGATGGGCAATTTTGACAATGCTAATGTCACGGGAGAAATTGAATTTGCTATTGGTTATTGGTTCAAAACCCATTCCTTAAAATATGCATCAAGGCCTGTAAGAACCTTGCCTATGGAGAGGAGAGAAGAAAAGTGCAATCCGTAAGTTTGGGTTTTTTAAGTTTGACATATTCTAAAATTTAAATGAAAAGCAAAGTCCAAGAATAACAAGACAATTGTAAAATGAACAAAGGGAAAGATTTAGTTCAATAAGTATTACAAAGCTGTAGTAATTCAAATAAAATGTTCATGATACAAAGATCAAGTCAACAAAGCAGAATCAAAGTCCAGTTGTAAACTTCAGCATACATGAAAACTCATATGACCAAGGAGTGTCTTCGTTTGTTCTGAGAATCCCAAGATCAAGGTGCTGGCAGCTTTGGTGCCTGGTGAGGGCCCTCTTTCTGGTTTGTAGATTGCTGTCTTTTTTGTTGAGACAGAGTCTCACTCTGTTGCCCTGGCTAGAGTGCCATGGCGTCAGCCTAGCTCACAGCAACCTCAAACTCCTGGCTCAAGCGATCCTCCTGTCTCAGCCTCCTGAGTGCTGGGACTACAGGCATGCGCCCATGCCTGGCTAATTTTCATAATTTTTAGTTGACTAATTAATTTCTTTCTATTTTTAGTAGAGACGGGGGGCTCGCTCTTGTCAGGCTGGGTTTCGAGCTCCTGACCTTCAGCAATCTGCCCACCTGGCTCCCGGAGTGCTAGGATACAGACATGAGCCACCGTGCCCGGCCTCTCTGGGCCCTTTAGGAGGGCACCAAGGTTGTTACAAGGGCTCCACCTTCATATGGAATCGCTCTCCTAATACCAGCTGTTGTGGTTTAGGCGTCAACATATGATTTTCGGGAGACATAACATTCAGTCTATTACAAATCAGTGGTAAAAGATGGACTTCCATAAATGATGTTGGAAATTTGAGTTTTCATACAGGAAAACAAAATTAAAATCTTGCCCCACACTCCATAAACATATTAAAAGTTTTTTGCAACTGAGAGATATGCAGTGGTGTCTCACATTTTTTAATTGCTTTCCTGATTACTAACAAAGATGAGCAACTTTTTCTGTATGCATTGGCCAGTTAAGTTCCCTTCTGCGAACTTTCTGTTCATATCTTTTGCCTGTTTTGTATTGGATTGTTATTACTTATTTATTTATAAGTTTTATTTTTATTTTTACTTTCTAATTTTTTTTATTTTTATTTATTTTTTGAAGACAAGGTTTCTCTTGTCACCCAGGCTGGAGTGCAATGGTGATGACATAGCGCACTGCAGCCTCGACCCCTGGGCTTAAGCGGCCCTCTCTTTTCAGCCTCCCAAAGTGCTGAGATTACAAGCATAAGACACTGCCCAGCTGGAGAGTTTTTTGAAACCTTTGAAATAGATTTAAAATTCTTTATTGGTTAATTATATGTATTGTACATATCTTCTCCCAGCCATTACTTGTTTGTGGTTTTTTTTTTTTTTCTGAGACGAGTCTTCTTTTTTGCCCAGGCTAGGAGTGATGCCGTGGGCTCAGCTAGCTCACAGCAACCTAAAATCCTGGGCTCAAGCGATCCTGCTGCCTCAGCTCCCGAGTAGCTGGGCACAGGCATGCGCCACTGCTCGGCTAATGTTTTTTTTCTGTGTATATTAGGTTGGCCAACTTAATTTCTTTCTATTTATAGTAGAGACGGGGTCTGCTCTTGCTCAGGCTGGTTTCGAACTCCTGACCTCCGCAATCCGCCCGCCTCAGCCTCCCAGAGTGCCAGGATTACAGGCGTGAGCCACCGCGCCCGGCCCATTACTTGTTTTCTAACTTGCTTATGATGACTTTTCTTGCAGAGAATTTGCTATCAAATTTATCAGGCTTTTCCTTTAAAAATCTCTGCTTTTTGTCTATGGAAGAATTCCTGTGCCACCCAAGGTTATAAATACATCCTTCTCTGTTTCCTCTAATAGAGTGTTTTCACACTTAGGTCCCGGAGTTGATTTTCTGCATGTATGGTTTAGGCATGGACCTCATTTTTGCCTTTCTTTTTTCTACATGGAAAACTTCGAGCACGCTGTTTTAATTACAGTGTAGGTGAGCGACGTCGGGAAAAAGAATCCATTGTTGATTTCATCAAACTCTGCTCTGCAGCCTTCAGTAGCTCCTCAGCACCAGACACCGTTAGGACAAATTGCTGTAGCACCTACGGTTCCCCGCAGAACCTTTCCTCTCTTTCTAGTCTCCTGTTATTCCACATGCCCCAGGAAAACTGGAATAGTCTGTGCTCAAATATCCCCTGACATTTATATTTCAAAATTGAGGGACGCTTGAGCACTGCTATATTGTAAAAAGACAGAAACGTTTAAGTTATTAAACCTCCACTGAGATGTTAGAAGAAAAAGATTAGTCCTAAATAAGTGTGAAACAGTAAAAGATAAGAAATCAGATGAAGAAAAAAATCAATTGAATCAATCGTTTTGACGAAGATTGAGTAAATCATAGTCCTGCTATTATCCGGTTAAATAATATGAGAGACCGGGCGCGAGGTGGCGACACGCCTGTGAATCGCTAGCTCCTATTGGGAGGGCCGAGTTGGGGCGGTTGCTCCGAGTCAGGAAGTTCGAACCAGCCGGCAAGAGCGAGAAGACCCCGTCTCTACTATAAATAGAAAGAAATTAATTGGCCAAATAATATATATAGAAAAAATTAGCCGGGCATGGTGGCGCATGCCTGTAGTCCCAGCCACTTGGGAGGCTGAGGCGGAAGGATTGCTTGAGCCCGGGAGTTTGAGGTTGCTGTGAGCTAGGCTGATGCCACGGCACTCATGCTAGCCTAGGCAACAAAGCGAGACTCTGTCTCAAAAAAAAATAAAAAAATAAAAAAATAAAAAAAAATAAATGAGAGAATACACACAGATACCAACATCAGGAATGAATAAAGAGAGGCGTGACAGAACTTACAGACATTAAAGAATAATAAAGGGATGTTATGTAAACTTTTATGCCAATGAATTTAACAACTTAGATGCAATAGACACATTTCTTAAAAGACACAAATAACCAAAGCTGACATGAGATGAAATAGAAAACCCGAATAACCTTGTATCTGTTAAAGAGATTAAATTCCTAATTTGGCATTACCTAGTACAGCTGAAAATGCACATACCCTAGCACTGCTGGTCATGTGCCTAGAGAAACTGGTAGGTGTGCACCGTGAGCATAGCAAAAACCTAGGACATGAGACACATGCCCATCGGGAGGGTAAATGAATTGTGGTATGTTCATATACTGGAATAAATAGCATGCAGGATTAGAAATGAGTGAGCTATAGCTACACACAACAACACAGATGGATTTCAAACACAGTGAAAAAAAGCAAGTTACAAAATAATGCATATGGAATGATCTCATTTATATAAAAATTCAAAAACAGCACAAACTAAGCAGTAGATTGTTTAAGGAGATACATCAAAGTGGTGAAACCATAAAACCAAGGGAATAATAAATACAAAACTCAGTGTGGTTATTGCCTGGCTATGGGTAGCATCAAAGAAGGAAGTCATTTATGTGTTCTGTTTCCTAAACTGGGGGACAGGCACACAACTTAAGAGTAAATGGGGCTGGGCGCGGTGGCTCACGTCTGTAATCCTAGCACTCTGGGAGGCTGAGGCGGGCGGATTGTGTGAGCTCAGAAGTTTGAGACCAGCCTGAGCAAGAGCGAGACCCCACCTCTACTAAAAAAAAAAAGAAATTAGCTGGACAACTGAAAAAAAAAAAAATATATATATATATATAAAATTAGCTGGGCATGGTGGCACATGCCTGTAGTCCCAGCTTCTTGGGAGGCTGAGGCAGGAGGATTGCTTTTGAGTCCAGGAGTTTGAGGTTGCTGTGAGCTAGGCTGACGCCACGGTACTCTAGCCTGGGCACCAAAAAGAAAAAAAAAGAAAAGTAAATGAACAATGAGGAATGGGAGACAGAGAGTTTTGAGTATTTTTTCAAGAAGCCTAACTGAAAAGGAAGAAGAAGCCTAAGACCCAAGGCCACAGGAAGGACAGGAGTAGAGGGAGGGTCATTGTTATTTTGTACTTGGGGAAGTTGAGCCTGTCCAACCTGTGGGGGCTAGGACACGGGCTGGTGGTAGGGTAAGTGCCATCAAAGAGGCTGCCAGAGGAGCCATGAAGGGCAGTCTGGGGGCCGGTGTGGAGGGGTCAGCCTAGAACAGGACACGTCTTCCTCTGAGGTCAGATTTCAGGGCCAGGGAAGTGCAGACGGAGCCATCTGCCCCTCTGTCCGGCTGTGTGTGGCCCCAGACTCAGCCGGGAGGGCCCACAAAGGCCCCTTCTCAGCAGGCAGCAGGAGTGCAGTCTTGCAGGCCCTCACAAGGAAAAAGCAAAGTGTGAGGCATGGGTTTTTTTTTTTGCAGGTTGGGGGCGGTGATGGGTGGAGGTGGAAGGGGGGACTGGAGACTCTCTGGTCTTCACTAGATGGCAGGTGACGAGGGCATATACGTTAGATCTAGTGTAGGGCATGCGGAAGGCTCCACACCCCCAGGAATATTCCAGAGGATCCTGCAGCCAACACGTGGCCAAAGACTGTGTGTGTTAGAAGCTGTCCACACCAGCACCTAGCCGGGGACTGGCAAGCCGGCGGGAAGTCGCGTGGAGAAAGCGCAGACGTGGGGTGCGCTCCTGCGGCCCCTTCCCCTGCCGGGCGCTCACGCCGACCTGTGTTTGGCCACCAGGTACGTAAAGACCTACCTGCTGCCTGACAGATCCTCCCAGGGGAAACGCAAGACTGGAGTGCAAAGGAACACGGTGGACCCCAACTTTCAGGAGACCTTGAAGGTACCTGCCGGGCAGACACTGCTGTGCCGGGTCGTCCCGCCCGGGCCGGGCACTCGGCCAGAGTCCAGCCGGTGGGTCTTTCGGGCTCCGAGTGTCAGCCACGTGTGCGTGCAGACGCCCCCGCTTTTCTCCCCGCCCCTCTCAATCAGTGGCGAGTTGGTAGAAAATACATTTCAGCCCTTTGTGCGGGAAAAGTGCAGAGTCTGCTGGACTTGAGAATGGCTTTTGATTAATGATTTCTGAGAAAACGGTGAAAAAGAACCCGGCTGCCACTTTGTCTCAGGCCGACAACGGGGCACAGGGTAATTTTAAAAATTGGTTTGTCTTATTGAATTTTTATGACTGTCAGAGCGGCCTGTCGAGCAGAGGACCCTGAAAGTCAAACGACTGAGTTGCTGTCTCTGAAAACCACCCCTTTATTGTGATATCTGACAAACCAGGGTTTCTTCTTCTTCTTCTTTTATTATGAAATTATCATGTTGTGGGGAAAAAAAGGATAAAGGAATTGTCTAGGTTTTCATTATCTTTGGTGCTAGGAAATATGGTTTATGGTTGAGGGTGGAGATGGGGCCCGGTGCTCTGATTTGGGGCTGGAGCCGAGGTCTGGAGTCCTCCAAGAACGGCTGTGTCAGGCCCCGAGCGGGGACACGACCCAGTCCGGCTGGGCCGCCAGAGACCCGATGCTCTCACGCCTGGGACAGGAGCGGGCTTTGTCTGCCTGCCTTGGCAACGAAGGGCGTTTGTGAAGTGCCAGCCAGGGGCCATCTGGGCAGCTGGCACGGAGCCCTGCGTTCGTTAAATAATAATAGCCATTGTTCCGTGAGCCCTGGCTGTGGCCAAGTGCTGTATTTGCAGCCTGGGGGACGCATGAGAAGCCCTGTCTACCCACGGGGAGGCTGAGACGCAGAGAGAGCTTAGAACTGCAGCTCCTTCCCGGGGTTGCCGTGCAGAGGAGTCCCCTGGGACGTCTTTGAAAATGCGGTTCTGATTCAGCATGTGGGCCGGGCCTTTCCCATGAGCCCCCGTCCCTGCGAGAGTTTTGAAAAACTCCGTGTCCCCTCATACGTTTTAATGGATATCTAAAATTATTCGTCAGAAGTTTAAGGTATTTTGTGCTAAGCAGAAGCTTATGAAATGAGATAAACAGGATCAACTGTACTCTAGGTGCTTAGTTATATAGTCCGGTCTTAAAAGTTTTACCTACCTAATTTAAAATGCATACAGACTCTCAAAGCAATCACTTAAAATTTTTATCCATGGGTTAGAAGCCGTCCACACCAGCACTTTTATCCATGGGTTAGAAGCCGTCCACACTAGCACTTTTATCCATGGGTTAGAAGCCGTCCACACCAGCACTTTTATCCATGGGTTAGAAGCCGTCCACACCAGCACGCGTGTCGGACGGGAAGGTGGGAAGACAGGGAAGCCAGTCCCTCACTGTGAAAGTCCCGCAGAAGCCAGTATTTCACATCACCCGTTGTTCGGCACCCAGGAGGTGTTTGCACCTGGCCCGAGTCATGGGGTGAGGTTCGGGCGGGCGGGCGTGAGAACTGTCTCCACCGGTATTGAGGAGAGTGCGTGTGAAAGCTGGGGACCTAGACAGTGATCCTGGGCTTGTCCGGGAGCCCTTCTAGACTCCAGGGAGACTTGCACCCCCGTTTGAGACCATTGTCACCGGGGCCTGGGGAGGTGAAATGAGATGCCAGGTCTGGGCCATGCTGGTCATTGCCTGTCCCTGTTCTCCAGTGTCCCTTATGCTTTGTACCCAACAGAGCCTGGGGCAAGCCCTGGGGACCCGAGGGGGCCATGGTCCCCCGCTGGGAGCAGTGCTGCTTGTCAGAAAGGGGTGAACAGTGGGCGAGGACCCAGGGAGAGGCCGCCCGAGCGTCCGAGGGCATCACTCGGGGCTGCCCAAGCGGCTGCGGCAGACGTGGTGGCCCTGCCCGGCCTCCCTGCCCAGCGGGAACTGACTTCCCTGGCTGGCATGGCCCCGGATCTGGCATGACCAGATGGAGCAGAGTTTGCAAAGGGAGGAAGGTGTGGGCAGGGTGGGAGAGGGACCACGGACTTGAGGGAAAACAGACTAAAAATTAGCCAGAGGCAGTAAAAAAGGGAATGTGACCCAAGAGATTCTGACCTTAGGGCCCCACAAGTCATCCCAGCAGGGAAGAAAGGGAGGGACACCAGCCCAGGGAGTGTAGGGGGGATGGCAGAAGTTGGACAGAAACTGGGAGGCAGAGGGCTCCTGTTGGCTTCCAACTTGTCCGTCTGTTAGAAAGATGGCCCAGAGGAGCTGACCTGAGAGTCAGGCTCAGGCTGGGCGTGGCGGCTGAGTCCGGCCGTGGTGACAGCTGACATGAGAGAGGGCCACTGGATTCCCAGGCTTCTGTCTTTTCACCTGCAAATTGCTGGTGAATAACACTGACCTCATAGGATGCTCGAGAAAGCCCATGATGGATGTAGCTAAAACGCCTGGCACGAAGTGAGGGTGCGGAAACTCACAGCTCCTGTTCCTTAGTGAGAAAATCCGATGGGCTTAAAACGAGGCCCTCGGAGGCCGAGGTGGAGCCAGCTGGCTTTGCGGTGTCGCCACCCCACTGGGGAGTGGGGACAGTTGTTGAGAAGGGAGAGGCCCCCGCCGGTTTTGGGCTCAGCCTGCGGAGGGCGGCCGGGAGCCGCTGACGGGGTCTGCTCTGCCTCCGCAGTACCAGGTGGACGTCACCCAGCTGGGGACGCGGCGGCTGCAGGTCTCTGTGTGGCACCTGGGCACACTCGGCCGGAGAGCGTTCCTCGGAGAAGTGATTGTCCCTCTGGCCACGTGGGACTTCGAGGACAGCGCGACGCGGTCTTTCCGCTGGTATCCGCTCAGGGCCAAGGTGACGTCTGGTTTGGGGCTGAGTGCCCCCACCCCACCGTGAGCATTAACTGGCTTTTCAGAGAGGCCAGGAGAGAAAGCCCAGCCAGCAAGGCTTTGCCCCAAGACACAGTGCGAGGCACCTGGCCTGCTGGCCGTGACTTCCACACACGAGCTCTGTAGGCAGGAAACGGCTCAACATTGGGCTTGCCTGGGTGGGTGAGGTGGAGGGTTTCCTTTGTCCTGCCTAGGTTTGTTCAGGAGCCCGAGTGGCGCCACACGCCGGCCTGGCAGGTGGGCTCTGCCCCGGCCCTCCTCATACGTCTGCCGGGGGCTGTTGTGGGTTGTTTCTGGACTCAGCCCCGGGGACTCCCAAAGCAATACTAGGTGACAAATGCCATGAGGAAGGCAGAGCCCAGCCCTGGCTGGGACGTGGGGTCCGAGCTCCTGCTCTGGGCTCACACAGCCGGCCCTGGGCGGGCGGCGAGGCGGGGGAGGAGGAGCTGCCGTGTCTGACTTAGGATCGGCGCTCGCTGTGCCCGCGCTTCTCAGCGATGCTGCTTCACACGTTCCTGTCCCAAGATCCAAGACAGACAGTCCTGGGACACCGTGAGGGAGCAGACATCTCTTTAACAAATGACAGCAGGAGGCACCACCCCCCCGCCCACCGGGCCACAGCAGCAGGGCACGAGAGCCATCTGGCCTCTTGTCCTCTCTGAAGCCAGCACAGCTGGGATGCATGATGTCTCTGCTGCGAGGCGTTTCTGGTTTCTAGCCACCATGCAGTGAATCCGAGGGCTCCTTCCTGGGAGCCGCCTGTCCCCACTCCTGCCATGGTCCTGACTGCTGCTCGGGGCTTTGTCTGCACCCACTGTCGCCCCTGCTGCTCTTCTCATGCCTGAGTCCACGCTCGGACCTCCCCTGCCAGTGTCTACCTGGCACGTTCTCCCTACCCAGGTCGGCCCGAGACATCGCTAAGTCCCATCCCTCCAAGGAAGCCTTTCCTTACTGTCCCCTCCAGAAGTGGTCTCCCTTCCAGGACCCAGTCCTGGGTGCCCTTGCCTGTCTTTCCCCACTCAGGACCTAGTACCAGGGTGCCCTGCCAATCTCTGTGCCTCCTCTTCAGCCTTGGTGTCTCTTGGCTCCTGCCCCAGCAGTGCTGAGACGGCCCGTGTCTGTCTGCTCTCCGGGGAGCCCAGCTCCTCCAGGGCACCCTCCCCAGTTTCCCCTGACTCTTCCCATCAGAGCTTGAGCCTTCCTTGCACTCTGCCTCTCCCGCTCCTCTGCTGTCAGCTTGAAGACAAGGCCTGGACCTTCTCTGTGGCCCACGCCTAGCACGGGGCCTGGCATGAGATAAGCCACCAAGGCTTGTCTCACTGAGCCTGCCTTGGCAAGTGGGTGAGAAGCGGTGAGCACCAAGCTGGAAGGCACCCTTCCCCGTGCCAGCCCTGGGGGCTTGGACAGGAGGGGGCCGTGGCGCTGGGCCCTCGGATTCTGGCAGCTGAGGGTAGAGGTAGCCGTATCTCATTTGGCACCCAAGGGCCAGGAGAGCCGCTTCACGCAGACGGAGCCTGCCCACATGGGCTCCCAGGAGTCCTTAGCCCTCCATGGTTAACTGGGAGGGTGGCCTCTTGCTGCTTGGGGGCTACCGCGTACTGAACATATCTCGACTCCCCCCAGGACCCAGTATGCTGCTCCCAGCACCCTAGGTGAATGAGTGATTAGATTCAGGATCATCTCTTCTCTGGGCCCTTCCTTCCCTTTCTGGCAAAATCGCTCATGACCAGAGAAGCCACCGCAGTAGGCTGGGAGGTGCCCCTAGGGGGTCGGGGACAAGGTAGGGACAAACTTGCCACCTCCTGTGGCTTTGGGCAGAGTCTGCAACCCCCTTGTGCCTCTAGCACCTGCGACAGCCCTTGCCATGGCAGGGTAACTTGAATCAGTAATCAATTGGGGGGGGGAGGGGAGGTGCTGAGTTTATTTACCTTTTGCGAACTCGGGCTGCATCCAGGTTTCCCCAGGACCTCGAATGGGAACGGCAGTGCCCTTGGAGCCCTCCCTGCCACCACAGTCCTGTCCGCCTCCCTCTGGCGTGCAGGGGCTGCAGGGCTGTTCCTCCCCGCGTTGGGGGTGGAGAAGGTGGGACGTGCCTGCTCCATCCAGGGCTCTTCTGGGCCTCTGAGAGGCTTCCCAGGGTCTGTGGACAAAGCAGAGGCAACCAGGAGCCCAGAAGGTTCTAGAGGCCTGGGGAATCCTGCCTCTGAGCTCTGCCTCTGACCCCCAGGCTGAGAAATGTGAAGATGGCGTTCCTCAGAATAATGGAGAACTTGCAGTCCGGGCTAAGTTGGTCCTTCCTGCGGGACCCAGAACACTCCAGGAGGCTCAAAAAGGTAGGTGGTCTCTAGCCCCCTGAACATTTGTCAGTGTCCCCAAAGCCTGGAGAAGGAGGCAGGCTGAGAGGAGGGCAAAGTGTGTTCTAGCGTTTCCTTCCTGCTGTCCCCGATCCTGGGCTCTCGCGAAGAGCTGTGGGGTCAGCCTGGGAAGGGCGCCCTGGAACCCACAGCTTGGGAGGGCAGCGGCTCCAGAAGCGGGCAAGGCCTCCGATGCCCACCTCACACTGCTCTGGGGACGAGCTGGCCCTGTCTCCCAAGGGACAGGTTTAATGGTCTCTGGTGAAATGGAGGCCCTGCTTGAAGAGGGGACACTCCATGACAATGTGCGTCGTGGGTGGGAAGTTTGCCTCTTTCGGAACCAAGAGTGCATCTCAAGGCACTGGCACCTGCAGGGCATACAGTGGATTCAACCCTGCTCCCTGTCACATGAGCAGCTGCTCCCAAGCAAGAGAAGCAGGTCACAGAGGCCAGGCCCTGGGGGCTGATGGAGACTTTACCCCCTTAGATAGCGTGGGGCACATGGAAAATGGGAGGGTGGAGAAGACAGGGAGAATGCAATTCCCACGGGGCATTGCAGCGACCTTCTGTGCCTGCAAGGGGACACGCTTACCTCCCAGGCTTACCTGCAGCACCTGTACCCGTCCCAACTCCCAGCAGGGTCTTGAGGCTCCCACTTTCCCAAAAGCCACTGGCTACAACCAGACTGAAACTTGTACCTCTTCTCTCCTGGGGCTCCTCTGTACTCCTGTGCTAGGACTTTAGCGGTCAGTCCCCCCATCCTGTCCGGCTGCCTAGGTGGCAGGCCAGCATGGGCAGGGCCCGCAGCACCTTGTCAGGGAGGCCTCCTGCCTCTGCTTATCTGTTGTCGTAGGGCCTGAAGGTGCTAACAGAGTGCTGAACTGTCAGTTAGGGGGGTTGTCATGGCACTGCACCCTGATGTGTCAGGAGCAATGGGCTTGACAATAAATACTGGTTTTCCTTCCAGGGACAGATCAGCCGTCACTTAATGGTCAACTCTGTTTGGTAGTGCTGGGAGCCAAGAATTTACCTGTGCGGTCAGATGGTACCTTGAACTCATTTGTGAAGGGGTAGGTATTGGATGTAACCATTTACTAATGATCTAGTATACATACGGCATGGTATAGAACAGGTAGGGTTAAACTTGTCTTGTTTTAGCTTTCCTATGAAAAACTAACATAACACATATTAAAGACCCTGATTTTCAAGAATCCATGGGATGTGGACATGCTGGGGCTAGATCTGAAATAGTTCTTGTTACCTGAGTTAGTCAGTCTTGAAATCAAGCATGACAAAGTAGCGTGTTCTTTATCTGAACACGTCCTCTTGGGTCAGCATTGGAGGGATGACTCTCCATACTGCACTCTCACTACAGGGTGTTGGAACCTCTAAAGCACAGCAAACGCCAGCGATTACTATGCTGAATCACTAACTCCCCAGTTAGGGGCCAGGGAAGGCCTACGGGGTCAAGACAGAACTGAGGTTGCTTGTCTGCGTGGCCTTGGGCAAGTTACTTACCTTTCTGAGTTCATTTTCCTGAGAACAGGATTAAAATGTACTCATGGCAGTATGCACACCGAGGAGGAGAGATTACGGTGCAGCCATGGAGCCTCAGAATCCCAATTTACCCTTCATATTCAGCTCCAAGAGAAATTTGGGACTTCCTAGCGAAAGGTCCTGGAGCGTCTCGGGATCCCCATTCTAGGTCCTTGTGTAGGGTGCTGATTTTGTAGTGGATTTAGTGTTCGCTTAGCCCTGCGGGTCTGAAAGCATCCCTGCGGAAGGGAGGCTGTGTGGGGGCAGTGACTGCAGGGCTTTGTGTTTCCCTCCTGCAGGTGTCTCACTCTGCCAGACCAACAAAAGCTGAGGCTGAAGTCCCCAGTCCTGAAGAAGCAGGCTTGTCCCCAGTGGAAACACTCCTTTGTCTTCAGTGGTGTGACCACGTCTCAGCTGAGGCAGTCAAGCTTGGAGTTGACGGTCTGGGACCAGGCTGTCTTTGGCGTGAGCGACCGCCTCCTGGGGGCAGCCAGACTTGGTTCAAGTAAGTCTGAGACACTCGTTGGGTCCAAACAACATTGCTTATCCCAAGTGTGATTGCCTTACATGGAAACCACAAAAAGGGAAAAACACTTCCACGGTGGCAGCGACTTAACTGGCTATGAAATTGCCTGACCGTGCCATAAATGGAAATTCCTAAGACTAGTTCTCACTCTACAACTGAGCGATAATACAGCAAGGTATTCTGACAATTTAAATCAGATTTAGATCTCCCAAAAAAACAAAAATTATAGGTCTCAAAATGGGCTAGGTACAGTATTTGCTTTTGTTTCTGGCGTCAATCATAAAAGGATTATTTTCTTAAAGGAATATATCTTCTTAACTCAAACAAACAGCAATTCAGAACTTCATTAAGAGTGGGACAAAATAGCAATGCCGTCCAGAGCTGCTCAACCCCGGTGCTGCTGGCACTGTGGGTGGACATGCCCTTTGCTGGGGGGTGTCTGTGCCTTGGCCACTCCCTGCTGGTTGCCAGCAGTGCCCCCCGCCCCCACTCTGCAGCGACCAAAAACACCCCATACCAAAGACCTCCATCCAGGAACCACCACAGATAAGATTGAATTACAACTTTTTAAAGGGCTGTTGTCCAAAGCATACATTCTTCCTCTGAGCAACAACCCCCCCGGCCCCATCTGGGATAGGTCGCAACCAGCAGTAGCCTCGCCAGTGTATTGAGACTGTCCCCTGCGCTGGTGGAGAACCAGTCTGCCAAGCCAGAGTCCTGGCCTCGCTTTAAAACTACAGGAGAGGAAACTGCTCCGGGCGTGTAGAGCCTCACAGTACCTGAGGAATGCCTGAGCCTGTCCCGTTCTCAACACCAGCTCTGCTTGTAGTTGGGATTTTAATATGGTCGTGAGGTAACAAAATTCCTAAAAAGCTGAGAGAAGGGACAGAGGAGGTGTCCTCACCCACCGTTACTAACGTGTCCCATTCGTGTTGCAGAGGGAGATGTGCATGGCGGCACGGACTCGTGCTCACAATCAAAGCTTCAGTGGCAGAAAGTTCTTTCCAGCCCCAATTTGTGGACCGACATGACACTTGTCCTGCACTGAGGTGAAGGCTCCACAGCCCCAGGCTAAAGGGGTGAGAAGCGCAGCGTGCCTGCAAGGGGCTAGGAACTGGGTGTGGGGCCCCAGCGGTGTAAGACCCTCTGGACGAGCAGTCTAGTCTCCACCTGCAGTCATGTCACGTGGCTAAAGCACCCGTAGGTATCTCTGGGTATATTTAAGTTAAACTGCAATTACCCATGTTATGTACACCAGTCTCTGGCAGGTTGTATATTTGAGACATGGACAATGGCCAGATTTCAATAAATGTTCACTTGCTGTGTCGAGTAGTGACAATTACAGCTTTGTCACGTGCACTTGGAAGAGGAGGAGGCTGGTGATTAAGATCCTGCGTCCTCTCCTGTGGATAGTCATTTCCAGAGCTGGCCGGCCACAGGGTGCTGGGAGACTGGGTGGCTCTGTGATGGGCCCTCCTATTTATAGGTCTGCGGTGTGGGATTCATGTGCACGTGACATCTTTACTGAAAGGGAAAAAGCACGTGAAAAGGAAGGACACGAGTGAGCAGAACCAATGACACATGGAAACTGATGTCCTCACGGCTTTTTGGGGCTGTGGAATGAAACCAGAGCAAAGTTGTTCTGGTGGAAACACAGATAGATGCACAGACCAGAGTCCCTTCATGGCTGGGGTCTGAATGGTCATTATAGTGTGTTGTGTATTTTCCAAATAAGCAGCTTTGACAGAAAACTGGAGTGTGCATACTCAATTTTACATGCATATAGAACACTAAATCATTTTTACCAATGTGATTATAGCAGTTAATCAGCTTATCACTGTCCTCACATCAGATCAAGTGCTGTGGCTACATGGCTTTAGTATGTAATTCTTTTATTATTCTGTAAAAGGTAACAAAATATACAGAACGAAACTTTCCCTTTTTAAAACTAATGTTACAAACCCACATTATCATTTATAAATACTATACTCTAGAGCTGATCATTAATTAGGTATAAGTCCAACAATGTATTCTGTTAAGCAAAACCCAAAAAAACTTTTTAAAAAGTTTATCCAAGCATGTCCTCCTGCAGAGCTCACGCTCAGTGCACACTGGCTCTGCCACCCGCCAGACTGATGGAGGAGGGAAATTTGTGTGTGAGAGTGCTTCACATGCAATCTTAAATATATAAAGATGGATCCTTCATAGAAATCAAAAGATCAATTTGAGTTCATTTCAATACAGAAAAAGTATGGCACAGATTTAAGCCACAATGTGGTTTTCTTTAATGATACTGGATCTTGTATCACACAGGCCAGCATGAAGTTTGTTACCCATACTTCATAGGCACTTTCCTTAATTTGATGAGTCCTACTCCAAGCACAATACAGAAAGTGATTCAATAATAATCATAAAAATCAGGCCTGTTTGGCACTATGATACAATTGTAGAAAATAAACCAGGGAAGCTTCCCCTGGTTCCCAGAATATTTCCGCCAGGATAAATGCTCTCTTTTTAAAGGAAGTGGGAGGTGATAAGGGTCCCCTAGATTTGCAGTACTAAAGATAGAAGCGTGACAAGGCTGGCAGTGGCCCTCGAAGCAGCATGCTGCGAAGTGCCCCACTGCCCTTGGTCCGGGGCGTTACATGGCCTCAAACTCGTCGATCCGCTGCTTGGTGTTGCCCTGCCGGATCTGCCGCAGAGTCTTGTACTTGTCCCGGCCTTGCCTCATGTTCTCATTGTGGATGAGGTCATTGTGGGTCCTCTTATTCTCATCTCTGGCCTGGGACAGCTCATTGCTCAGCGTCTGCAACATAAAGCAGCATTTGTCAGGTACCTCCCTCTCCACCTGGTGCAGTTGGGCAGTCCAACCCGCCCCTGGGAAACGGGGGAGTGGCAGCGGGTGCTGGGTGGGGCCGGCTCGTGTGAAGAGCAGCAGACCCGCTGGACAGGGCCCACCCCTCACCAGCAGCTGCCGCTGCACACGCTCGTTCTTCTCGGCCTCAGTGATGCGCTTCTCCTCGTTGCGGTCGTCCAGGATGCCCTCGCTGGACAGCTCGGCGCTGTAGCCCATAGACTCTGCACCCTCATCCTGCAGGCCCTCCTGGACGTGGTAACCGACTGGCTCGTACATGGGTGGGGGCGGGGGTGGGGGAGCTGTCATCGCCAGGTGCAGCTCCTCCTTGGTCTTCACCAGGTCATCCTGGGCTTCTTTGGCCTTTTGAAAGCAAATTGACAGACAAGTCAGAACTTCTCACCCAGAACCTGTGTCCGTGGACTGTTTTCTTTAAGAGGGCCCCATCCACTCCTGGTGTTCCCGGCCCTGTTATCCATTATGTCCACAGCAGGAAGAGAAAAACTGACATGACACCAGAGCCCCGGTACTTTTTAAAGTACCATTTCTTTTTTTCCGTCTATAATCCTAGTATATGTTCGTTAATAAATTTTTTTCAAAAATGTATACAGAGCAATAAACAAATCTTTTAGCTACTGGAGAGGTGCTGGTGTGCACCTTGTCTCTCTCCTTGGGGGCTGTTACCTATCAAGCACTTGCCGGCCCACCACTGCCAGGCCCTCCAGCGTGTCCACACAGCCCACGCACTCCATCCCTGGAGACGAGCTTAGTTTGTATCTGCTTTGGAACCAGCTTTTCACTTAATTCTTTATAATGCCTACTCTCTCCGAAAACCTAAGAACTGAAGTCTTCTGTTTGCAACTTGGCTTGGGGAGATGGAAGAGAAGCAGAGGGAGGCCAGAAGTGGTAAGGACAGAGGGGAGATATACCCCAGAAGGGGACCACCACAGATGAGGAAGCCACAGGGGAAAGGACAGGCTGTAGGGTCTATAAGGGGACAGGAAACTTCCAAGGCTTGGCATTAAGTCTACAAAGTGCACCATCCCCAACCTCCTGGTCAGCAGCCTTTCCACAGTGCCCCGCTGTCTGTACCAGCTGTCAGGAGGTCTTGTTTCTGGTAGTGCGACCACTTTGCAGGGGGCACCCATATAACTGGATTTAAAACCAGTTCTTGATTGGGGGCTGTCTGATCACGGCTGAACAGTTCAGGGTGGTTGGGGCAAAGTGGGTGGAAATGAATAAGGAATTCTTTCTCTCCTAATCTAACACTGGCACTAATTAGTACACAAGGTCAAGCCCATTCCTGTGGGGATTTCTGCTTCACCAGCACAGCTGGCAGTGGCAGGACTGTGAAGCATCCCAGAAGCTTCCAGTGGGACCTGCCCGCTGAGCCAGCACCTATCCATCCCCAGCGCAGTAACGTGCCCAGTGGCCACGAGGGAGCCATGAACTCACCCTGTGCTGCCACTCTTCGACCTCATCCTCCTTGCGCCTCCTGGCCTCCTCCAGGAGGGCGATCTTGGCAGTGTACTCTGCAAGCTCCGCAGCCTGGGAAGGGAATGTGGAGCTACAGTGAGTTCTGGAACCCTTCCAGGGGAGTCTATTTGTGAATGAACATTTGTGTTGGGGAACAGCCTCTGCCCCTCTCTTTTTCCCGAGGCTGGCAGGACCCACCAATGCCACCCCCTGCCTGGGTGTCTCCCTGGATGCCTCACCCATCCCCAGTGGGAGACAATGGCACGGCCCTCCCCACCAGCTGCTTCACCCCTGAGGAGATTGGCTTTCAGTACTGAAAATCATTACAAAGCAGGTGTAGCTTTTTGAGCCCCAGGAGCAGCCTCTCTATAATTCAGCATCTTGAAACTCAGGGATTCCTACCAGCTGCTCCTGGCTCTTTATCTGATCCACTGCCTGTCTCTCCAGCTCCTCCTTGGCCCGCAGTGCAGCCACACGGTCAGCCTCTAGGCGCTCAGCCTCCTCCTGGGCCCGTTTTCTCTCCTCCTCCAACTGCAAGGCTCTCTGAATCTGCTCCGAGAGTTCTGAAGAGAGGACACAAAGCCAGAGCTGCTCAAGCCCCCAGGCCCTGGGTGTCCTGTCCTATTCCAGCCCAGGGGGAATCGAGTGAGATCAAGAACAGCAACCACACCCAAAACCACAAAGCCCTAGACCAAGCTATAGGTTGATGGAACTTCTTCCAGGATACTGGAAAGGAAGCACTTCATGGCTCATTCCGGTTGTGTTTCTATGACAACTTCCTCAAGATGGCTGGAAACCACTGTACAAAGCTGGTCAGCCGTGCCCTTCCCAGCTGGGTCTAACTCCTGCACCCTCCTGGCACCACACTCTGCAGGTTGGCCCCTGCCATGCGTGGCCCCCACCCGGCACTCTGAAAGGGTATTGCTGTGTTCGAAGCAAAGTGTTTTAACCACTTCGGGACCGCGCTCACCAGCCGAGAAATCTTGCCCACAGCCGGCATTCATAGTCTGCACGATAGCTTGTGCTGCGCATTGACAATGAATCCATTTTGCTCTTGTGTGATGAGGAAAACTTTAAAGCACTGCAAGCTTGTTTTGCTTTACTTGTAATGTAAATCAGAATAGGTAACATATACATATATGTTTTCATTACGTTATATTTAAATGTTCACAATTTTGATAAATGAAAAATTAGAAGAGTCATATCAGGGCTGTGGGCTAAAGTCGCTGTGTGCGTTCATCTGTGGCTGTCGACTACAGTCGACGCTGGTCCCAAAGTGGTTAAAGGCGTCCGGTGAGTGCAGCTCTCTCTCCACTAGACTGAAAGGCCCTAACCAACCACGAGAGCTGTCAAGGATGACTGTGGAGGTTCTGGGCGTCTGGCCTTGAGTTTTATAGCCTAGAAGCATGAGGGGCAGTGTGCCCTGGCTCTGCCACTTACTGGCTGCGTGACTGTCGGCAAATTATCTCACTAAACCTCAACGTCCTCATCAGGAAAACAGCGATTCAGCACTTACCTCAAAGTACTGTGGGAGAACAATTAAAAAGACAGTGTGCATAAAATAATTAGCTTGGAAGTTAATAAAGTACAGAAACATTTTCTAGACCAAATAATCATCTGATCATTTCTGTTACAAGTCTATACTTTGGGGTATTGTGTTAAACCGAGACACACATTCTTGGGAAGTTTTCCTTCTCAGCTGTGTGCTGTGCCCATCTCTCTGTGGAAATATGTAACCAGACGTGCTATAAGCCACCCCTAGAATAGTGCCTAGCTGACGCAGCCCCACCTTTCTCCGCCTTCTTGGTTTTCTCCTCATAGTCCTGCAGCCTGAGCATCAGCTCCTCCTTCTCACGCATCATCTGTTCTTTTTCTCTCTCAACAGTTTCTCTCCTTTTCTTCTCAGTTTCCAGCTGTTGCCTGGTACAGGAAAAAGATGGCACAGGGAGACTCAGACTCTGGCAGACAAGGGAGAGGTCGGGATGCTCCAGCAATCAGCACCTGGGCCAAGGATCGAGCCCAGCGTCCTGGCCGAGAGCTGACGCCCGCTCTCAGCCCATGTGATCCAAAGGAGCAGCTGTGTCTAGGTCATCCCCCTGCAGCTGAGTGAAGAGGCCACAGACCATCCCGGAGGTCTATGACGACTAAGGAGGTGGCAGCACAGACCCCAGCTCACAGAGAGCCCCTGCCCCCAACTCAGCCCAGAGCAGTAGCTCCGACTGACATCAGATCAGCACCCACAGCAACTGCCAAGGGCTCGTGCCTCTGCAGACCCAGATGTGTTCACCAGGTTATGTTCCGCCAGGCTCCTCTGATTGGCACTAAGCACAGATATACCTGGCTGCCCCCCGACCCTGGCTGGGAGGACACAGGCCCTGCTCCACTCTGGCTTCTGGCCACTCACCGCTCCAGCTGCTTCTGGTGCTTCTCCTCCCGGGCCTGGGCCTTCATCTGCTGCACCTCGATGGTATCGGGCTTCCTGCGGCGCATGTACAGCTCATGGTTCCCCATGCAGAGCTGCAGGATCCTCTTGTTAATTCTCAGGCGAGGCGCATAGAATACGAAGTCCTACAAAGCAGAACAGGGTGGCTTAGACTCAAAGTCCTTCTTTTGGCTTTCTTCTCCTGCACCACACTTCATAAAATTCCAGACCTTTTCTAAAAG